ATTCTCTGCCTTGCTGCCTTGCTGCCAGACTTTCTACAGCAACATGAAGGTGGGGGGCTTCCTCCTCCTGGTGATGCTCATCACCCTCAGCTTGGAGGTGCAGGAGCTCCAGGCTGCGGTGAGGCCACTGGAATTGTTGGGTGAGTCCAGGCAGAAGACAGCCCTGTTCTCTGAATGAGGGAGCTGGAAAGTGGGCCAGCAGGGACCGGTGTGTGCAGGGGGAGGAGGGAAGAAAGGAGAAAAGGAAAGATGTTCTAGTCAAGGAGCCATCTTGACCGCATAAATCTCCCTCCCTCTGCTTCCACTCTTCCCCCTCCTTTCCTCGGGTCATCCCTTAATCCGGACTCTCCACTCTTCCCTTTTTGCTGCCCCATCATCTCTTCCATCTCCCCCAGCATCTCTCTCCCCATGGGTTTCTTGGCCTTTTGCAACAAATAAATCAGATCACTAGAGAACACATTGTCTTAGTCACATTACACACAAATCATCTCGATCTCCGCTTTTCCCTTTACCACCAACATTCTCAAAGGAGCCATCTTAACTCTCTGCCCCTACTTCCCCACAACTCATTCCTTCACACCCTGAAGACTGACTGTCGCCCTTTCTGTCCTCATCAGTCTCCAGAAACTTTGCTCCCAGGATCTGCTGGCAAATCTCTTGACGCTCCTCGGCAGCGAAAGCCTGTAACCTCTGCATCTGACATGGTTTGCTGCCCTGTCAATCCGCAAACTTTCTTCTCTCTTGGATTCTCTTCACTGTAGCTCCTGCTTCTCCCTAAATATTCCTGGGTTCTCACTTACTCCCCTCTCTTCTTTGCTGTCCTCCTCCCCCCTCCATTAAACCAGTTGCCAAATACCGTCCATTCTTTGAAATTGTTTCTTGCATGTGTTCCTTCCTTTCCCCTCCCCATTGCCACACAGCACTTCCGGCCCTGACTACCCCATGCTTGGGCCAGTGCCCAAGTTTCCTGACCGCACCCCCTGGCCCCCTTTCCCTTCTGAGGTTTGCTTGCTCACTGAATCCTGGTCCATTTTATGCCCTCACACCAGAATAATCTTTGTAAGCAAACTGCGGTCATATCCCTCCCTTGGCCTACCAAATGGAATCCAAACTCATCAGGTCCTCAAGATCTGACCCCAGTAACTTTGTCCCCTACCTGTTTGTCCTGCTTGACTTCCAGCTGCTCCCGTGTACTTCTCCAGCCTCACATTTGCCAGTCCTCCTGTATTCCTTGCATTCCAGGCCGAGCAGTGAGGAGAGGAGACGTTCACTCTCAGGTTGTGCAAGTGGCTCCTTAAACTTTGTGCCCTGGATGCCTCACATGACTGCATTTCCCCTTGTGAACTTTTGCTAGTAATTCTTTTTTCTTCTCACAAGACTCTACCACCACCACCGCCCCCCCCATGCCCCCGCCCCGTCAAGTCTGTCTTAAAAAGATTCCTGTACTTCAAGACTCACCTTTTGTGGCTAATCTAACTGGAAATAATGTCCTCCCTCCTCTGAGCCCCTTTTCCTTTGGATATACCTCTCTCAGGACACCTGTCACATACTGCTTTGTTTTTAGTACTTCATTTTTTAAAAATATTTTAATGTTTGCTTATTTTTGAGAGAAAGAGAGTGGGGAGGGGCAGAGAGAGAGAGGGACAGGGGATCCAAAGTAGGCTCTGTGCTGACAGCACAGCCCAATGTGGGGCTCGAACCCATGAATCAAATTTGGACACTTAACTGACTGAGCCACCCAGGCACCTTGTTGTTAGTACTTTAAACACAAGTCTTATCTCTGTTGTTAGATTCTAAGCTGCTTTAAGATAGTGACTCTACCTGACATCTTTTCTTTTAACTGTTTTTTTTTTAATGTTTATTTATTTTTGAGAGAGAGACAGAGAGAGAGAGAGAAAGAGAGGGAGCATGAGGTGGGGAGAAGCAGAGCGAGAGGGAGACACAGAATCTGAAACAGGTTCCAGGCTCTGAGCTGTCAGCACAGAGCCCAACGCAGGGCCCAAACTCACAAACCACGAGATCATGACCTGAGCTAAAGTTGGATGCTCAACCCACTGAGCCACCCAGGCACTCCTTAAATCTTTATATTTTCTGAATAACTTAGCTCTATGCTTCATACATAGCAAAGATCAACAGATTTAAGGAGTGGGGCAAAGTCTTCAACCATCTCACCATATATCAACAACAGCAAACAGAAGCAGGGAGGGATCGTACTGACTTTCTCTGAGGTCTGCAAGTATATTATAGACATCCCACCAGGCTCCCTTCTTATACTCTTAAACATTGCTAGTCATCACAGGATTCTTTTCCTGTTGAGCCTGGACAAGATGCCCCAGCCTTCTCAACGCAGCATTAAGTAGTCATCTCTGTTGATCAGACTTGACACTGGAGAATGAACTTCATTTCCCCTGCTAGAGCTAAGAGCTCCATTTTACATATGAGGAAACAAGAGCCCAGAGAAGTCCAGACACAGAATCAGGTAGAGAAACCCCTGAGTAGAAGCAAAAACACAGCACACATTCGTCCAGAGCTCTGCATACATATAGCTAGAAGTTCCTGTGGGGTCTTAACCGGCTTCTTGGACCTATTTCATTGGGTCTCAAAGACTAACTGTGAGGCTCTGGGAACCTAGGGGGCCTCCACTCAGGTCAGGAGTGACTCCTTGACATTTGGCAATGTGCACTTCATCTCAGAGTCTGTTTCACCATGTGGGACGGCAGAGGGAGCTTGGCCTAGGGACCAGGCTGGTCTGGGTTCAATTCCATTTCTGTACCTACAGATGTGGGCAATTCACCTCTGTGCACACCAGTCACCACACTTATTAAATGAGGTTAATCAGATTCACTGCGCAGGGTGACAGCAAGGCACGCTGGATGGCATTTGCTTAATGTGAGTCTCCTCTTTTCTGCCCTTTTCCCTGCAAAGTAGGGAAGTGAGGACATTTGAGTGGGCTTCTTTGCACTCCCCTTCTGCAAATACAATGATTCTCTTATTTAAAGTAGGCCTTACTTTATTGTGATTATGTGAATGTATTGTCTTTAACTGAAATATATAAGATGTTAAAGAGTATTATTCTGTAATTATTTAAAAATTCCATATTTATTGAATTGAATTTATTGAATTTATTTATTTATTGTCTTTAACTGAAATATTTAAGATGTTAAAGAGTATTATTCTGTAATTATTTAAAAATTCCATATTTATTGAATTGAAAGAAGAAAGTGGAACTAGCCGCTTCAGTCAAGGGCTGTCTTCTCTGATACCTGGGCTTAAAACAAGGTGGTCTGTTCTAACATAGGTAGCTGCACTGAGGAATGCAGTGGTGACTGGGATTGTGATCCAGATGAACGCTGTGTCAGCAATGGGTGTGGCCACGTCTGTGTTCCAGCCTAAGGACAGGTGAAAACATCAGGCCCTTCCCTGCTTCCTCAAACCTTGTCCAACCTAAGGAGGCTGGCTCTGGTGGGACTTTCCAGAGCTGGGTGGAACAGAAGCCTATCATTCTGTGGCCTCTCCCTCTTTACACCCTTCTCAAGAAAAAGAAGCATCCATCACAGGATGGTAGCTTCCAAACCTTTAAAATAATTTCATTACCCAATATATCCAGAAGACAAATCAGACTATTTATCTGAACAAAAAGAACATTAAAATCAGTCACATTATGCCCCATCCCCAAATGATATCTGCTTAATACTTTGGTGCATATTTTAAACACACACATGCAAATACATAATATACATACATATATATTATATATATATGTACATGTTATATATATTAATATATGTATATATTATATATATATTGAAATGAGATAATTTGTGTCTATTTTTATTTCTTAATTATTTCACTTAGAAAATAGCTATTTTCTAATACAACTTTTAACAATACCAACGTTTCTATACCATCGTCAATAGGCATAAGGCTGTTATACCTTTAACAGCCTTATAAAAAAGTTCATCATATATGTTCATATACTTAGTAACCCCCATTAATACACACTTGATATGTTTATTATTTATTTTATTAATACAGTTGTAATGAATACTAAATTGGTATACATGCCCTTATTAACTTCCTTGGGATAAATTCTAAGAATTATAATCTATGGCCCAAGAGTATGTTCATTTTATTTATTTATTTTTCAATATATGAAGTTTATTGTCAAATTGGTTTCCATACAACACCCAGTGCTCATCCCAAAAGGTGCCCTCCTCAATACCCATCACCCACCCTCCCCTCCCTCCCACCCCCCATCAACCCTCAGTTTGTTCTCAGTTTTTAAGAGTCTCTTGTGCTTTGGCTCTCTTCCACTCTAACCTCTTTTTTTTTTCTTCCCCTCCCCCATGGGTTTCTGTTAAGTTTCTTGGGATCCACATAAGAGTGAAACCATATGATATCTGTCTTTCTCTGTATGGCTTATTTCACTTAGCATCACACTCTCCAGTTCCATCCATGTTGCTACAAAGGGCCATATTTCATTCTTTCTCATTGCCACGTAGTACTCCATTGTGTATATAAACCACAATTTCTTTATCCATTCATCAGTTGAAGGACATTTAGGCTCTTTCCATAATTTGGCTATTGTTGAGAGTGCTGCTATAAACATTGGGGTACAAGTGCCCCTATGCATCAGCACTCCTGTATCCCTTGGGTAAATTCCTAGCAGTGCTATTGCTGGGTCATAGGGTAGGTCTATTTTTAATTTTTTGAGGAACCTCCACACTGTTTTCCAGAGTGGCTGCACCAATTTGCATTCCCACCAACAGTGCAAGAGGGTTCCCGTTTCTCCACATCCTCACCAGCATCTATAGTCTCCTGATTTGTTCACTTTGGCCACGCTGACTGAGAGTATGTTCATTTTAAACCTCTGGTGCACATTGCCAGATTAGCCCATGAGAACCCCTTTCCTGTAGAAAAATTTCAGGGTCCTCATGTGATATTTTTAGTAGCCATCAAATGAAAAAAAATGCATCATGGAAAGCTACCATGATTCAGTCTTGATTATAAATTAGGTTGTATTTATTAATTAACGTACTAACTAACACAACAGAATCAACATAAACTTCAGAAGTAAGCCATTTGTGTTCAGAAGTTACTATTTGTCCAATCCACCCACAATCCTTGGGATGCTTTTAGCCTTGCTCGCTCTTTTCAAGTGCTTATTGATTCCCAGAACTGGGAACTGTCACCTCTCAATTGCAGTCTGCAAACCTAGGTCACAAAAACAGCAGGTCTCATGCATAATTTTTTTTGTCCATTTTTCAGATGAAGATTTATCTTAAGGGTCATCCTTCTCTAATAATTTCTCATCACTTCCTATCTTCAAAGATGTGACTGGAACTCCTTGCCCTGGAAGACAGATGAAAATGGGGACCTGTGGATGGAGATTACATGTGGTGGGGAAGGAAAAAGAGTCACTTCTTTCAATAAATCATCATTGTTAAAAGTACCCACACTGCTTGAGTTATTTGGTTAGGGGTGATGATGAGGTGGGGGAAACATTTGCTCAGGACTTGGTATGCCACTGTGTTATAGTCTCCACAAGAATCATCTAATTTATCCTTACCACCACCTTGTGACTGCTTATTACCACTACTATTTTACATATAAGGGGGCTGAGGTTTGGAGAGATTAAGTAATTTACTCAAACTCATATAGCAGATAAGTGTCAGGACCTTATCGCTAATCTCATGTCAAGCTCCAGGGCCTATGCATTATAGCATTGGAGTTAGGAGCTCTGATTCTGAATTCCAAACCCAGTTCCACCACACAACTGTGTGACCTTCAGCAAGTGTCCTAACCTTTCTGTGCTTTAGTTTTCTGATCTGATTATCAATATATACTTCCTAGAGCTACAAGGATAAAAGAAGTTAGTTCATGTAAAGTGCTTGGCATGCTTGGCATAGTGCCTGACACAGAAAACATTCAAAGTGCCTGACACAAACAAACATTACCAAATAGATAGGCTGATGGCCCTTAGTCCTAATTTTCTAAGATTCTAGAAGAGAAGCCAAGGCCAATCCTCCTTCCTAGCCTACCCTAGTTGATCTCAATTCTTAGGACCAGCCTCTCTCTTCTGGTTTTCCCCATTACAAAACATGGGTAAAAACAGACTTATAGTTTCTTGTCTCTGGTCTTCACAATCACAACTGGCCTGGGTTGTAGTCTGATTTTGGCCAACTTACTGCCTGTGTGGCCCTTGACAAATCATTTAAATTCTTTATACTTTCTTTTTTTAAGCCATTTAAACTTTTCTTATCTGTAAAAAGGGGGAAGTAACAGTGTCTCCCTCATTTGGATGCTAAGATTTACAGAACTTTATAGTTTACAAAGTATTTTCACAAAGATCCCATTTGATTTTCACAACAAGTAACAAATGGCAAATTGGGGGCTCCGAATAGTGAATCCATTAATTCTGTCAGCAAGCATTGGTGTCTTCCATGATGCAGTTGCTGTGCTAGCATTGATGAACAGCGATAGATGATGCAGACATTGAACAACAGTGATCCAGACAGATGGGATGTGTGCTTTCACAAAGCTCACAGTCTAGAAGAGGAAACAGATAAAACCAAGTAAATAACTACACATTATGGTAAAGGTTTTGAAGGAAATAAACAAGGATGTGAATTACAAGGAGAAGGGGGCAAGGTAAAGCCTACTTTAGTTAGGATGATCCACACTCTAATGAGGTAATAAAAATGAAGTCTTGACCGAGTTCCAAAAAAAGATTGAGAGTGAGGAGGAATAAGGATATGTGAGGAGATTTTCTTGGGAGAGATTTTTGCCAAGCTATGAATTCCACAGTTTGGGGGTTATCATCTAAACACAAGCCAATGAAGTGGGCCTTCAAGTCCTCCCTGAAAGCTTGATATATGTTTCTTCAGTTGGTGATCAGCAAAGGGTAGGAATGTTCATTTCCTTGGAGAAACCACATTGCCATCTGCTAGGGTACATTCCATCAGAACTCAACAGATTGGTATCAGTATACTTTACAATATCTGGGTCATTCAGTCTTGAATAACAGTATGCGTGGGCCACTCAGGTTGCAACCTAAGATGAGCCACACCAAACCCTGATCCTTTCCACAGTCTCTATCACACCACCTCCACTGTGATGATGATCAGGTCTCACATCCTTCTAGCCCAGTGTGTTGGATATCTCTTGTGCACTGCTTTGAATACTCTTGGCCTTACACTCTTATTCTTTAAAAAATTTTTTTTCAACGTTTTATTTATTTTTGGGACAGAGAGAGACGGAGCATGAACGGGCGAGGGGCAGAGAGAGAGGGAGACACAGAATCGGAAACAGGCTCCAGGCTCTGAGCCATCAGCCCAGAGCCTGACACGGGGCTGGAACTCACGGACCGCGAGATCGTGACCTGGCTGAAGTCGGACGCTTAACCGACTGCGCCACCCAGGCGCCCCGCTCTTATTCTTAGTCTAATCATTGCTACAGCAACCAGCTTCAATCAGGCATCTACTAGCTTAGCACAAGTTAAGGCTTTTATCAGAGCCTTGTCTTGGACTGTACCCCAGTACCCTCCACCTCTCACTTTTGCCTCAGGGCTTCTCTGTGCATCTGGAAACTCCCACAAGAGCCACCACCCACTGATGCATGCTCAAATGAAAAGCACTGGAGAACTGATGCTTGGTGGGGCAATGCTTGACAACAGAATTCAAAGGCTGGCAGATATATGCTTCCATCTTCCATTCCTCAGGAAGGGGGTTCTGACAGCATTCCATAAAGCTTCTCAGAAAATCTTGAGGATTGAGCAAATACCACCCCTTGCAATGGTTAATTCAATAGCCCATATGCATATTGATTCCCCTTTCTTCCCTGTTCATTCCTGAATAACTCACTCACATAACAACCTCATCTAAGGCTCTGCTTTGGAAGAACTCAGACTAAGACATCTGTGACTCGGCCTCAGCTCCTGATCTTCTCTGAGCAAGTGCTTGAACACCACAAATACACATACATAACATACACATACACACATCTCAAGAATAAGCAATAATATACAAGCATAATGAAATCTAAAGTCAAACAAAAAATATTCCTCCCCCCAAAGCCCAAAGTCTTTAGAAAACTAGCTCTTCTAAAGCATGCCCCCAATTGCCATTGCTAAACAGAAGTGTTTGTCTCAAGATAAAACATGTATATTCAGGTGCCTTCAAGGTTTTCCCTAAGAACCATTGATGATAATTTGTTTTACATTTGCATAACTCAAAAGGCTTGAGATGACCAAATGTAAATTTCATGCCTTCACTTCTTGGGTGGCTAAAAACTGTTTATAGCATTTAAAATGGCTATTTTCTTTTCCAGTTTCTTGCTTTTAAGGTTACAGGAAATCTTGGGGTGTCCAATCTCAACTAGGTCACCTTCGGGCAGGTTATATTTCACATGGCTTGAGTTTGAACTTCCAAATTACTTTTCTCGTGTGGTGAAGTGCCTCAAGATTCACAAAAGGATGCACAGCTAGCTGCAAGGAATACTGGTTACTATATCCTTTATGCAGGGTGGTTTTGTGCCTGGGAAAAAAGGTAAGAGCCCAAGATGTCGCAGACCTAGCAGTTTCTGCCATTGCCATCTACAACGGCCCCTCCCCAATTCCAGTCCGATTTTGAAACGCTAGTACTAAATAGGCATGTCAGCCCTGCCCAGGAACAAACTTTCTAGGAGGACAAATAAAGTCTCAATTTCAGTCAGGGCTCAAAGCGAAGTGGGCGGCAAGTAAAGCCTCCAAGCCGTTTCTGAAACCTATTCGCACAGCAGTGCAAGCAGATCCCAACGTCTAAGAACGCCAGCTCTGGTCTAAAGAAGTTATTTCCGGAGCTGGCGCCCGGAGCCGGGAATGCCCCGGAAGTATTTCCCTGTGGTCCTACGTGGGAAAAATGGCGGCGATGCAAGTGGCCGAGTCGCTGCCGGGCGGGCAGGCGCGAGACGTTCCACGAGAGCCACCTCCCGAGCAGGGCAGTCGGTTCCGCTGCTTGTCGGCCAGGCTCTGCGCCCTCCGTCCTGACGACAGCAGCTCCGCCCGCACCGAGATCCACCTGCTCTTCGACCAGCTCATCTCTGAGAACTACGGCGAGGTCGGCGGCGTGGCCCCGGAGGTAGGCGGCCTGCTGGGTAGGGAGGACTCGGGCCACGCCTGCTCGCCCCGGCCCCACCCTCAGAGACCCGGGCTGGCAGCTCCCGCCGGCCTCTCCTGGCCTCTCCTGGCTTCTCTCGGTACCGCTTCGCATTACTTAGTTCCAGGCATGCTTGCTCCCTCCGACTGTGGCGGTCTCTGCCCTCCTCTGTCTGGAAGACCCCGCAATGCTTGGCAAACTCGGCATCTTTCAAAACGCCGCTGATGACTTCTGCTCTGGTAACACCGCAGGTGTCATTTGGTCCGCCCCTCGCCTCCGCTCCGCTCTCTGCATACAAAAACACTTTGTATATAAAATTCACTATTACCATTTACTAAGTAATGGAACTCGGACCGTCACGTACTATATACCGCGCACGGTTCTAGGAATCTTACAACGTCGGTAATATTAGGTCTGTTTTACTGTTAAAAATACGGAGGCACATAAAGATCCAGTGTCATATTGCTGGCGAACGGCAGCGCTAGAATTGGAGCCTAAGTCTGTCACATGGTCCCTGCCATTTTCTGTTCCTCCGTGCTAGCTTTTCCCTCTTTGCCTCCTCTTTAGAAGTACTTTGACTCTGAATAATAATAATATTCACACACATCGGGCCTTAGAGACTACTTAATGAACTCCTAGAACTCTTGACCCAGTCATGCCACTGCCTACGGTGCTCAGAGGCACCTCAAACCTGACCGTTCCTAAAAATGAGTTACATTATCTCGGCAGAGACCACTGTATCCCCAACACGTCCCCTCCCCCCACTCAGGGAAACATGAACAGTCTGCCAAATCGCACTGGCACAAACACTGGTGCTTTCCCTTTCCCTCCTCCTGGATCTATCCACTCTGGATTCTTCAGACTCTATTTCATAAATGTTTCTCATCTCGTTTTCTGTGTTCCCTTGCCAGTGCCTTAAGCCTTCAGGCAAGATGACTTTTTCCTGAACTCTCCTTAAACTTCTGCCTCCAGTCCCGCCCTTCTCCATACCATTCTTTGCTTTGCTGCTAGAGTGCTCTTTTCTTTTGTGGGAAAAAAATCTGACTAGAAAGCAAAGCTCTGATTTGGGATGATCTTCACTACATACTGTAAGTGATCAGAGCAAGTTACAGAACAGTTCATGCATGCAGTGTGACACCAGTATAGGGTGAGGAGCGTGTTTAACAGACTGTGTATATTTATAGCGTTCACAACAACAAATGGAAGAGTTGACAACAACAAAATAGTGTGTATCACTAGGGAGTGGAGCGGAATTCGGGGAGTACTCGGGAACTTTTGCTCTATTGGTATAATTTGATATTTTTGTGTCAAAAATAATGTGCTTTTCCAGTCTCCCATCACTTCTTTTGTGCCCTGTGTGCAGTCATTTAAAACCTGCTCTTCCTCAAGCTTCTACTAGTGTTTCACACCTACTGGTGTTCCAGGTTTTGCACACTCCATTCCCTTTGCTTGCGGCATCTTTCGTTGCTTTGTATGTCTGGCAGATTTTTAAGTCATCCTTCAGATCATTCCAGGTTATGCTTAAAAATCACCTCTGTAAGACCTCCTTAATTACCATTTCCCCATAGAGTTTGTACTTAATTCTTTCAACATTTAATTCACTTTAATGTTTTGTGAGTGTTTCTAGATAATGAGCTCTTTGAAGTTCAGGAATATGTTTGTTCACCTTTGGATCCCAAAGATCTAACACATAATAGGTGCTCCAGACTTTTAATTCAGTAAACGTCTATAGAGGAATGAATGGTGTGATTTGCAAATAGATTTCCCGCTTTTTTTTTTTTTAAGAATTACCTAATTTTACATTAAACTTATACACGTGTCACTCCTGATTTTCCCAGTGGCCTTGAAAATATGGTTTCCTTGCTTTCTGTTTTCTTTTTCAAGATGGGAATGAATGAGTTTTATTTTTTAATTAAAAAAATTAATTCCAGTATGTTAATATACAGTGTTGTATTAGTTTCAGGTGTACAATATAGTGATTCAACAATTCCGTACATCACCCAGTGCTCATCATAACAAGTGCACTCCTTAATCCCCATCACCTATTTCACCCATCCCTCCCTACCCACCTCCCTTCTGGTAACCATTAGTCTGTTCTCTATAGTTAAGAATCTGTTTCTTGGTTTGTCTCTCTCTTTTTTTCCCCCTTTGCTTGTTTGTTTTGTTTCTTCAATTCCACAGATGAGTGAAATCATATGATATTTGTCTTTCTCTTATTTTGCTTAGCATTGTACTCTGTAGCTCCATCCATCCAGGTCATTGCAAATGGCAAGTTTTCATTCTTTTTTATAGCTGAGTAATATTCCACTGTGTGTGTGTGTGTGTGTGTGTGTGTATACACACCACATCTTCTTTATCCATTCATCTGTTGATGGACATGGGCTGCTTTCATACTTTGGCTATTGTAAATAACGCTGCTGTAAACATAGGGGTGCATGTATCCCTTTGAATTAGTGTTTTTGTATCCTTTGGGTAAATACCCAGTAGTGCCGTTGCTGGATCTTAGGGTAGTTCTATTTTTAACTTTCTGAAGAGCCTCCATACTGTTTTCCACAGTGGCTGCACCAGTTTGCATTCTCACCAACAGTGCACGAGGGTTCCTTTTCC